TTAATAAAAAGACACGTGATTAATAAAAAGACATGTGATTAATAAAAAGACACATGTTAACAGACTCACTGGAATAAAAGTCAGATTTGACCTGTAGTGTTGTTACAAGGAAATTCAAGATGTGCAAGTACCGACATCTTGTTGAGATACCTGAAACAGTTGTTTCAAAGAATATGAATTTTATTTATTTATTTGTTTATTTATCTTTCCATCTTTATGGTAGATGTTTATTTTAGCATCATTCCAGTTTACAATTCAAACCAGCAGGTGGCGGTAACGCCTCAATTATGTGAAGGTCAACCACCAAAGAAAACCCAAGAAGAAGAAGAAGTTTTGAGCGCAGTCCTGCTGGAGCCAGACACTCACCGGACCGGACCCGACCGGACTGGGCCGGTACTTCCTTCGGTTCCGAACATGTCGCGCGTGCTGATAGTTGGAGCGGGCCTGACGGGCAGCTTGTGCGCATGTCTGCTGAGGAGAGAGCTGCAGAGCCAGGTTCACATTGTTGTCTGGGACAAAGCAAAGGGCTCAGGTGAGACAGGAACTGGGGTTTGAGCTCCGAACCGAACCGAACCGAACCGAACCACTCTGCAGTAACTTGTGGTTTTTAGATCAGATGCATTTTGTCTTGGATTCATCATGGAGTTCAAACATCTCCTCACTCAGGAGAGCAGCTGCTGGTGTTCCTTAAGTGTGATGCATTTTGAATGGAGTTTGGTGTGTGTGTGCGTGCGTGTGTGTGTGCGTGCGTGTGTGTGCGCGTGTGTGCGTGTGTGTGCGTGTGTGTGTGTGTGTGTGTCTCTCTCTCAGGCGGCAGGATGTCCACCAGTCGTCCTCCTCATGCCTCGTCTCACTCAGCTGACCTGGGAGCCCAGTACGTCACAGCCACACCTGCCTACGCTCAGTCCCACCACAGGTACGCCTCACCTGGAGGCTGCAGGTAAACGTCCTCGGTGACCAGCTCACCTTGTCTGTCTTCAGTTTCTACTCAGAGCTGCTGTCTGCCGGCGTGCTGCAGCCGCTCCACTGTCACATCGAGGGTCTGCAGCAGAAACATGGACAGGAGAACTATGTGACCCCGCGTGGAATGAGCAGCGTCGTCAAACACTTCCTGTCCGAGTCAGGTAATGACTTCCTGTCCGAGTCGGGTAATGACTTCCTGTCCGAGTCGGGTAATGATTTCCTGTCCGAGTCGGGTAATGACTTCCTGTCCGAGTCGGGTAATGACTTCCTGTCCGAGTCAGCCTCATGCTGTTTGAGTTTGAAACTGTCCCTTACCTGTCCACCCGCGTCCCATTGATCTCAGTGTCTGGAATCCTTGTTTTAAATAAAGTTCTGCTCATTTGAATCTTTGTGTCAGGAGCTGATTTGTTCTTCGAGCGTCATGTGACAGGCCTGTACCGCCATGGTGCATCATGGGAGGTAGAGAGAAAGGCAGGAGGCAGTGAGACATTTGACGCCGTCATCCTGACGATGCCGGTGCCGCAGATTCTGCAGCTGCAGGGAGACCTGGAGACCTGTAAGACCATCAGAACCAGAACCGGTCCAAATTGTCCTTATGGAGAGGGAGCACACATGAACATGAGGTGTTCAGAGGACAGCAGGACATGTTAGAATGGTCCAGCTGAGAGGACGTTGATGTCCACAGTTGGGACACAGAAGACAGATCTAAAGAAAGCAACATTAATGTACTGGTCCTACATTTCCCATGATGCAGCAGCTTTTACTTCCTGTTTGTGTCCTAGTGATATCGGACCAGCAAAGACAGCAGTTGGACTGTGTCCGGTACTCGTCCCGGTTTGCTCTTGGCCTCTTCTTCTCTCCGGAGGTGGTCTTTGGTTTCAGCTGGGGGGCAAAGTACTTCATGGACAGTCCCTGCATCCGCTACATTGCTGTGGAGAGTAGGAAGCGCAGCGCAGGTATGTCATCACCTGTCTCAATACTCGCCCAGTTGTCTGTCTCTGGTTGGCTCACTGTCTCTACTCGTCCACCTGTCAGACATTTCAGGTCTTGCCCAGTCCCTCGTGGTCCACACTAGTGTCTCATTTGGCCTAGAACACCTGGAGTGGGACAAGGAAGATGTCCAGCCAATCATCTTACAGGAGTTGCACAGGCTCCTCCCCCACCTGCCTCAGCCAATCAGCATCAAGTGTCAGAAGTGGAGGTACTCCCAGGTGAGTCACCTGTTCTTGAACTCTTGGGACACCTCCAGGTGACGAAACTTGAGATTTAAGCCCGGCCCCCATCTCTCCTGCAGGTGCTGACAACAGTTCCTAACAGTCCAGGTCACATGACCCTCCTGCAGGCGCCGTCACTCATCTGTGGCGGCGACGCATTTAGCCACTCCCACTTCGATGGCTGCGTGGACTCTGCCCTCAGCGTGATCAGAGCCCTGAAGGCCTCGCTCCGAGTGTAGAGTCAAAGTGCACACGTCCTGTTACGGGCTGGTTGTTGACTTGTTTCTGTTACG